ACTGGTCGACCCTTACGAATGTGTGTATGTATGAATGTGCGTAGTAACTTCGGATAAAATAATGTAATAAAAATAATGCATTACTACGCTTTTGAGTTTAAAAGATAAAAAGGGCCTAATGTTCGAGTATTTTTATTAATTTTTCTACACCATTCGCCTATATTATTATTGCAAAATAACCCTGTGTACAACATTCTTGTATTACTAATTTCAAAGTAAATGATTTTGTAAATATTGTATTTGTAAAACGGCAAGTTTTAATATTTAATAAATTACAACTGTTTAATAAGGTATACATCAATAACAAATAATAATAAACGATGTTAATAATAATTTATAGTGATTGATATTCGCGATACTATCAATAGCATCTGAATGATTGGTGATTCATGACTATGCGATGTAATAGAAATTTCCTCTTTTGTGAAACTGTTTTTTTGAATTTTCTACCCATACTGATGCGACTTTGAGACCTTCAAGAAAAGAACCTACGTCGTTTCAAAAGGTCGGCAACGCACCTGTTTGTAGTGTTGTAGTTGTTCGTAATAATAATACAAACAACTGCAACACTATAAATGCAGCAACGCAAACACATGCAACAATGCAAAGACGCTTTACGCTTAAGATTGTAAATATAAAAAAGTGTTTATTTCGGTGATCTTGTTTACAACGTATTCCAGTGAGTAATCAGAGGATACTCGAGTTGGCAATGATCCGCTACTTCCCTTAAGCAAAGAAAATATACAACTACGCGAACCTTAAGTAAGATTATTTTTCTTTAAGTGCCCCTCCATTACAGTAGGTCAGCAGTCATCCTCCTAAATTCTTCTTTGTTCAGGGATAGCCTGAACAGATCTTCTACTTTCTATATCCCGGCCCATTTCCGGATGTTACAGAGCCAGGACATTTTCCTTCTACCAACACTTCTTTTATCCGCTACTTTGCCCATCATACTAGTCTGCAACAGTTGGTAACATTAATGCCTTAGCACGTGTCCTAGGTACGCAACTTTTCTCTGTTTGATGGTTCTGACAAGTAGGGGCTTATTCCTTTTCATCTGCTCGAGGACCTCAGTGTTGGTAACTTTGTCTGTCCAACTTATTCGGAGCATACGACGATACATCCACATTTCAAATGCTTCCAGTTTCTTAAGATTACAAAACTTCTATCATAAATCTGTAGAAGAATTGTAATTGGTACGAGTGTATTAAAGAGTGTGTGAATGTGAGCGTGTGGCTGTTGTTATATGTATATATATGTAATGGTGTGTGTGTATGTGTTGACGGGTGAAGAAAGTATAAGTAGGTACAACTACTTATCATTACTGTTGGCCTCTTCTTCTTTAAAAAATAGAAATAGTTGTTGCGTAAGGGGTGCGAACCCGCAGCCTGCAACAGCGTAACCAACACTACAGCGCTGCAGTTAAGTGTAGTTTAGACTGCAAAACATATCATTAAATATCTTAATCGAATAAAACGATGTTATCTTAGTGTAATTAAAAAAATGAAATTGGTAATACTAATCTTCCAAAAAAAGAAAATTATCTTACTTTTAATAATTAGAGGTATTTTACTTTTAATAGTCAGAGAGAGTAATTATATAGATATAGAGTAAATATATTAGGTTTTGATACTCATAATTTTTGGGCCACATGTTTGTAAGTGTGCCCAAGCTCGATTTAAGTAACAGACCTAGCAACTTGGGTAGCGTTTTGTTCTTGCATACTCAGTTCATTTGCAGTAAAAATTTACATTTATCATGATAAATATGTAGCCACCACGGCTGAGAATATCCACTACCCCATATCTTCCGTGGGTGTCGTAAGAGGCAACAGAGGGAGACGGGCAGGAGATGGGCAGCAGCATCTTGATAGCAATTATACAATAAAAAACTGCGGTTGCCAACCCGCTCGCCAAGCGTGTCAACTGTCGAAGCAGAAGACCGAGTGTGGCAGCATCGTTTCCGAGACACCTGAGATTATGAGTGAGATTGAGAGGTGAGAGGAGTAGCGATCCAAAAGCAAGTCTTATCCGACACTATTCCGATGATATCCCGGACGTCAGTCTGAACAAGATTAGAATGGATCTCCAGTACCTTAAAAACGGCAAGTCCCCAGGCGAGGATGGAATTACAGCGGAGCTTCTGAAAGCGGGTGGAAAATCGGTACTTGAAGTCCTTCAGAAGCTCTTCAATTCCGTCCTCCATGGTGGCACAGGCGGGCGTGGCGAGGAGCAGAAGTGAGGGGGTCTTGTTCTTCAAGAAAGGTGACAATTCCTTTTTGGTTTGTTGATTTGGGGGTTTTGTGTGGGTTGTATTTTGCGTGGCTTTTGGCAGAATCGCTGGAGAACCTAAGCACTATGCTCAATGACCTCTATAGTGTCTCCCAAGGCATAGGCCTTAAGATTAACATGGACAAAACAAAGATCATGTTTAATGTCCATGTCACACCTATGCCAGTAATTGTTGGGAGCGCTAAGCTCGAAGTTGTTGACGAGTACGTTTACCTGGGGCAAATAGTTCGACTAGGTAAGTCCAACTTTGAGCGAGAGGTCAATCAACGGATTCAACTCAGCTGGGCAGCGTTCGGGAAATTACGACACATCTTCTCGTCAGGTATACCTCAAAGCCTAAAAACTAAATAGTACAACCAGTGCATGTTGCCGGTGATGACGTATGGAACTGAGGCTCGGTCCTTCACTGCTGGCCGTATGGGGACGCTCAAAGTCACTCAGTAAACTATGGAGAGGGCTATGCTTGGGGTTTCTCTGCGTGATAAACTTAGAAATGGGGATATCCGCAGTAGAACCAACGGATTAGTAAGCTGAAGTGGCAATGGGCCGACCATATAGCTCGAAGAACCGACAACCGCTAAAAAAAAAGGTTCTTGAGTGGCAGCCTTGTACTGGCAAAGTGTAGGGTGACCCCCCACTAGATGAAGTGACGATCTAGTAAGACATGCAGGAAGTCGATAGATGTAGGTGGCTCAGGAACGTGCTTTTAATTGAATGATGATGATGATGATGAAATATGATTAACAATGTTATTTGTACCAACATCAAACATGGCTTGCACACGAACTGTGAAATTATCGGCGAGTGCTTAGATAGAGCCGTGCTAGCTCAGAGGACTGGCAAGGCTCTATCAGCCAAGACCGTTTATTAACAAATCTAAATAAATTTGAAACCTAGTAGTTCAGGAGTTGTGCGCTTTCCTTAACACTCAAATCTCCGAGTAACCTGAATATTAAATCCGGTGTTGGCACCGTAAAAATTATTGCAAGAAACAGTGCTTTATAAATTTTAAGCGCATTTATGTGTGGTCCTTAATCATATTATAGTTTTATAAGGTATTTTTGAGTTGTTTAGCCGATGTGGCATAGATAAGAGCTGTCCTTAAATTTCACATCACACGTGCAAAGCTGGCTTGATCACTGCCAGCACCAATGAAACTGTTATGAGTAAATTTTAAGTGTTGATTTATCACTTGTTTAGCGGTTCACCGCTAAATTTACTTTACTTCAGTAAAAGATCGTGCCCAAACTTGCATGACTGACAATATTTAAAAAATTCAAGAATATTTAAAGTCTGCCAACATGCATGAAGTCTCTTAAAAGTACAAAAGGTGTAGGATTGCGTCAGACGTGAAAACTCCTTTTTAACGCAAATATCAATATTGGAAATATTCGACAATACATAATTTTTTTATTTTTTTTTCTACATAAACATATCAGTTTATTACATACTCACTATTATACCGCACAGTGATTCTACAATTAATCTATGAATAATGATTATCGAAAACACAATTAAAACAGTGCACAGTATACAAAATAAACTTTGCAAGTGGTCAACATAACTTCACTTACTACTGCGCAAGATTTTAACCATCCAAAAAGTCCAATAAGCATATGATACAGTCGAGTATATATATACAATGTATTATTGTATAATATGCTTATACATGTACATATGGCGCTATACTATGCGTCGCCAGTAGTCGCAGTTTTTATACGTGGTAGAGCCATGCTGCAGTTATATTAATAGCATAGTTGTAGCACGAATGGGTAGGCTCGACCGAGGAAGGACCTCGTTCTCACAGAATACCAGCGAATAGTAGCTTAATTCTGCTGTGTTTCGAATGGCGAGTGTAGAGAACCGGAGACACCTTTTATTGGAAACGAGGCATTCCATCTTAGTCCTCACGGGTGACAACGCATATGCATTTTGATTTGTAATCAAGGATAAATGTAGATGTCTATGGGCCGCAGCAACCACTTACCATCAGGTGGACTGTGTACTCGTTTGTCACCCTATTCTATAAAAAATACGTCACGGGCATGTCGTGGTCATCGGTGACGCCAACCCATAATATTTTTCCTTATCAAACATCTCTTAACGCGACTAAAGAAGTTTTCACTTCAAAAAAAATTTAATAATGCCTGAATTTTTTTTTGGATAAAATAAAAAAAGGTACATTTAAGATGAAAAACTGATCGATGAAACTGCAAAAACAGAATTTATAATAAACTGTTAACATATAGTTATGTACCTAATTATACGAGTATAGATTACTATCTTTATATAAGCCAACCGTATTCGACAATAAAATAATCTCTTGTTTCTATCAATGAATTATCATACGACTTTAAAATAAGCAAATTTTATGTTCGGTAATGTCATAGTATGTGATCAAACCGTTGACACTAATGAAATTTTTAGTTACAATGTTTAGTGTTTATTTACCACGTTGAGGTGTGTAACTTAAAAATATTTTGAGTATATGTGAATAATTGTCCGCTATCATGAGGAGCGGTGCGGCGGACTTTTCTCTGCACCAAAAACGCTTTCTGAATTAAAAGACCTATATTTAGCAATGAGACGTATATATTATAGGCTTTTAGTTTACTTTTAACTTCACATTGCAAAGTATATAAATAAAGTTGGTTAAAATGATTTGACGAGAAAGATAGTCAAACTAATGATTTTTTTATAAATTTACAGATAGAACTAAAACAGCAGCTTTGACAATATGGATGGCTGTGATGGGGCTGACGCGGCCGCAATCAGTGCCCGCTGACAACGACACGCCTCCCTTTAGTACACTCTACAAGTGGAAGACGATCGACTTTGAGTTCCCGAGCTTGCATCACCGACGACAAGCTCTTCTTACAGGGTATCAACCTTCCTTTTTATTTTGCCCATAACATTTCTTTACTGAACCTCTCGCATAGAGAGTTTGTCATAATCACCACGGTTTCACCCTTTCACTGTTCCGTGTACTACACATAGGTCATTGCTATTGTTACGAGCTTGGGGTACGTGACAATAAAAACTGCCGATTGAATTACCAAAATTTGCGCTTTAATTACCGAACACATACCAGTCGCGAGTACATACCAGTCCCGACTGACTAGGTGTAGAAGCTTCTGGTATGGAAATTTCTAGAAGGATCTTGATTCTCCTAGTTCTGATACTCGATACTAGAGGGCGCTATTGTAAACTTATGTTTCTATGTACCATGCAACACTATTGTCATACTAATATGTCTGAAAATCGGACGGTGAAAATGTTAATAATGTGAAAATTACTGACAGCTGTCGGAGCTCACACGTTCTTTTGAACATTTTCTTCAGTCCGGTACCGTTTACGCAACCGTTTTCATCGCGCGGCATGGACACAGATGTATACTTACACATCTAGCCCATAGTGTTCATTCTATTTGCTCTGTTTGGCAAAAGTCGGATGAGAATAAACAAGGGCCCTAGACCTAAATTTCCGATGACGTCAAATGGGCGTTTGATCTTTCTACGGTAACAAGCATTTTAATTAATCTATAACATTATTTTTTCAGGAGTTATATCCCTTCGAACGTATTACCACTTGGTCTGGAGGTGTGGGGTTCAAGAGTATGGGTGACGCTACCCAGCTGGCGAAAAGGAGTGCCAGCCACGCTCGCGACTGTGCCTCGCGGTGGAGGTCTGGCATCACCGCTCCTTAAACCATACCCGGACTGGAATTATCATCGAGCTTTTAGTAAGTTACTTGGTGTCCGTCTTATAAAATTTAAGCCAACCTATAGAACAATTTCAAACCGTCCACTTACAATGTAAGAAAAGCACATGCTCATCTTATCAAGCGATTTTGCATTGCACTCAAAGATGAGAAGTGCCTTTTTCTTCGGTCCTTAAAGAGACAAATGTTATATCGCTCTAACGGCTGGATAGCGTAGTAGCTAAGTATTTGGTTGCAGGTTTAAAAGACCGTGTCAGTAAAAACCTTCATAATACAGGATAGAATTCAACAGTGGGGTAAAGTTTTAACAGTGCTGGCAAGTAATTGCAAAATATCTGTTTATTTTGACTTTCGACCAAAAATATGAATGTGAAAAGACCTACGCCAATCCCAAATCATGGTATATTATCAACATCTTCTACCACATAGATAGCAATATTAATAATATAGCAATAATTTTAATTATCATTCAAATCATAATCAGCATCATCATGATATCAAATTTGTCGCATCTTAGGTGCTGCTTATCCCATGGCTTTATCATTGGTATCTATTTCTCACCGGCACGGAAACTTGGCCACTCGTGAATTTGCTGATTATTTGCACTGAAACGTTTTTTTAACAGTAAATTAGGGGTAGATGCATTCAATAAGTGTCTCTAATGGTTTTAGAACATAGAAATTTAATGTTTACTTCACCGAAATTTTTCTTTTCAAGATAACATGTTTTCACTAAAATTAACATCTTTCCATTGTCACTTTAAAAACACTACAAAGTTAAAAATTAAGTCTGTTTCTTTATTGTCTATCAGTTTTAATATCGGGTGTTTCCTCCTCTAGCCCTGATAACCGCTTGCATTCGATCTGGCATGCTTTGAATGATGTTTCTGACATCAACTTGCGGTATGCTGTCCCAAGCGGCCAGCGCTGCATTTCGGAGCTCATTTAGAGTTTGTGGCGGTTTGGAGCTGGACTTTATCTTTCTTTTGAGCATACCCCATACATGCTCAATTGGATTTAAGTCCGGGCTACGAGCTGGCCACTGTAATTTTTGTATTCCAACCTCTTCCAGATATTCCTCTACACAATGTGCGACGTGCGGGCGTGCATTATCGTGCATGAGGAGGAATTGGTCGTGTCCAATGAATCCCGAATAAGGCATTACGTGCTCCTGAAGAACTTCCTCGATGTATCGAGTAGCTGTAAGCCGATTATCGACGATGACCAACTCTGTACGTGCGTCGGAACTTACACCTCCCCATACCATTATTGAGCCTCCATGGAAACTCACAGTTTGGGTGGTGGTAATGGGTAGAAACCTCTCTCCTCTTTTTCTCCACACTCGTTCTCGACCGTCTGGAGCACGTAAAGCTATTCGACACTCATCTGTGAACAACACTCTAGCCCATTGCTCGTGGGTCCAATTGACATGTTCTCTTGCGAACTGAAGTCGGGCTACTCGGTGCTGTCTGAGAAGTTCTGGACCTCGTGCTGGTCTACGAGCTTTTAAATTCACTTCCTCCATTCGTCTTCTCACCGTACGCTCACTAACATTAACGCCTCTTGCGATTTGGAGCCGCTGGCGTATCTCAACAGCGGTCAGGTAGCGGTTTCTCAAAATCTCCATAACAATAAAACGATCGTCCCGGGCCGATGTGCACCTTACGCCCCCACTGCCTGGCCTGCGGGTGTAGCGGCCTGTCTCCTGGTATCGTTTCAGTGAATACTGCATTGAGGACCGTGGTACGTTAAGCACAATAGCAACTTCACGCTGTGTCAGCCCTTGGTCAATTAATGCTACTGCTTGTGCAACTTGTGCTGGTGTTAATGGCATTTTTATTGGCTTTAAAGCACCTTTAGTTATTTAATTAAGACACAAGATCACAATAATTGAATAACCTTACAGTAAACTTTTCACAACACACAAATTTAAAATGTGAACTTAGTCGCTCAAATGACCCGATTCAACTAAAAATTAAAGAATTCGTCATGGTGCACTTAAACATAATGAATTACCCTCTTGAACTTGAGGGTAAACATTTTTTGACATACTTGCATAACAAACATTCATCAGAAACACTTAAAGCTTTTGCTATCGCGAGATAACCGCTTGGCCAAGTTTCCGTGCCGGTGAGTGTATTTGACATTTACAAAAGTTAACTTCTTTACCAATGTCAACATCAGCCACACACGGTGCACCCTGCTAACTTGCGAAGCCCAGACGACCAATAATTGGCGGTATCACTGTCATCATTATCATCATTAGAGTTCATCACAAGTTAATTATTGAACGTAGGCCTTCCCCATAGGTCACCACAAATTAAGGCCCTGAGTCACCTGTATCTATCGACAACCTGTATGTCACTCCAACTAGTAGAGAGTTGCCCAATACAGTGCTTGCCAGTAGAAGGCTGCCGCTCGAGAACCTTTCAAATATAGAAAATTACAATGGGAGTATAATAATCTTCCCTCTGACTGTCGGTCCTTTGAGCTAAATAACCAGATTTGAGCTTCATGATCCACAACTACTGGAACACCTTTTTTTACCATCTGGAAAAAATGGTGTGTAACATGTGAACGGAGTGAGGAGGAGCATTGATATTTCACAAAAAATAACAACAAAATTTCGCATTACATTAATTAATTAAAATCTATCGGAACTCAAATCATATCCACCCTAATTAACGAATGGCAATAAAATAACAAATTTAGTAGGCATCTTGACCTTGTCATTTCGCAGGGTCACAGGTTTAAGGGCAAAGGGTAAAGTAATTGTACAAAAAATTTTGTCAAACGTTAATTTTAAAATTTTTGTTTTAATTTTTTGTAAAAATAATAAATCAAATATCAAATATCAATGTTTTCCCCCGTTTTGGTTCTCTATATTCATACAAACTATCTTTTTTCGAACGTGAACTTCACCTAGAGTAAATTAAGAAGTCGATGAAAACTTCGAATCGCGCCTTAAATTCAAAACAACAATGAACAAAATTAACAATATTCAATCTTTTCCAGGAGATGCATGTGCATAGTCATAATCTAATTACAATTTAATTTTTATCTATATCTATACTAATAAAGGCGTGTAATATTATACACGGTTCAATTTCGGTTCAATACTGCTTTCAATTTAATTACTTCAATGGCATTGATACATCTAAATACATTTCAATGCGATTGCGCAATCTCATTGAAAGTTAAGATTCACCGAACCCTTTTAATGCAATTGTGGCAATATTGGTCATTATTCGATGCGGTTGAAACTTATATCCATGAAGATTGAACGGTAGGGTTTGGGTTCCGGGACATTTAGCGGCTCGAAGTCCCGGGACTTTTCGTAATTTTAGTTGTCTCGTGTCCCGGGACTTTCGGGTCGAGACTCGAGACGAGACAAGATTTTTGAAATTGTTAAGTAATCATTTTTATTTTTAAATAATTGAAGGAGCCTAGCGTCATCTTATTAGTTTAATGAATAATCACTTGCTCTACTACGTAACTACTGAGTACACAACACAATAAACGCGTTTGCCGCACTGTCATCATGCCGCTATATTAGTTGTTCTGTAGTCAGTCGTTAACTTCATTTATCATGTGAGTGTGGTGTGGTATTTCTTTTGAACTCAGTTTACTACTGGATGTTAAAACAAGGTGGAATTCCATTGTGATGGCGGAACGGTTTCTGAAGCTCAAAATTTGCGTGAAGAAAGTATTGATTGATTTAAAGATGTTATTTAGACAAGTGGAATGAAGACAATCTTCTTCTTTTGTAATCATTTCTGTCAGGTCTGAAGTTAACGAACGTTAAAATTATTAAGATTTAATTTTCTGTTTAATAAATGTTAATTTTTTACAAAAAATTGCCTTTTTTAATTCGTTTCACCAGAAATTAACCCAATAAAATTTTTTCAAAAAAGCTTACCCCTCTTAAAAAATTTTTCTTAGGTCACGAAGTCCCAAAAATTCCCGGGACTTTGATGGTAGGCTGTCTCGTGTCCCGGGACTTTGAAATTGTCAGGAATTACTAAACCCTATTGAACGGTGACTCATCCGTGCGCCGCACGACAGCGAAGCGTACGCACGCGCACCTATTTCGCTATATTTATTTCGAAAATGAGGTGCTTAAGGCTTCTTTAATTATCTTTCTCAAAATTCACGGGTGCATCCACCAACGCCGAGATTTTCTTTTTTTATTTAACTTATTTATTACACAGTCGCATATTAACGAAATTCCCGCACATACGACTTAGCGCGACATTGCAATGCGTTGTAAACATTGAATATAATTTAAATGATAACGTGTATATTGGTAAAGTCATTCAATGCGCAATATCTAATGCTTTTCAATGGAATTGTTTCAATTAGATTGAACCGTGTAATATCAGCATAAGTAAAATTGAATTGTCTATTTCTAATGTCAAGACAACCATATATATACCTACGCCACTTATACCAAAAAAACAATTTAAAAATTTTTGTCTATCTGTCCGTCCCTCCGTCTGTCTGTTTGTTCCGGCTAATCTCTGAAATGGCTAAACCAATTTTGACGGAAAATTCAGTGGCAGGTAGCTGATTCTATAGGGAGTAACTTAGACTACTTTATTATATTATCTATTATACTATCTTTATTTACGAAAAGGAATTAGGGTTTCGCGCAAAAAAAAAATTAAAACCCGTGCAATCTAATCGTAATAAATTCCACGCTGACTAAGTCGCAGGAATAAGAATAATATTTAGCATGAAATTTTAAGTTTTATTCAGTATACTTATAATTCAATAACAAAAATTCAACTTAAGTTTATTACTTAACCTTTCAAGCGCCATAAAAAGATGTTAGAGACTTTATGTATAAGTTTTATGGGTTAAAGTACTGTGGGTAGGTGCGACCTCATGAGACCGCTAGGGGGTTGAGAGGAATGGCAGAAACACAGTCATTCCCAGTAGAAATGTTTTTATAGCATAGGGTGATAAACGAGCACATAGTCCACCTGATGGTAGGTGGATGCTGTGGCCTATAGACATCCACATTTTTATCCTGAATTTCGAATCAAAATGCAGATGCGTTGTCACCCCTGAGGACTAAGATGGAATGCTTCGATTCCAGTAAAAAATGTCTGTGGTATTCTACACTCATCATACGAAACGCAGCAGCATTATGCTGCTATTTTACGCTGATATTCTGTGAGAGCGTGGTCCTGCCCCAATCGAGCCGACCCATTCGTGCTACTACTATAACATAGCTGCAGCGTGGCTCTACCACGTAACACTGGTCCATAAATCAATTATTGTAATCTTTGTATTTGGCTCGCTTGACTAATGAAATTACCCATCATTATGTTACACTGACGGTGCTCGTGTTCTCTACACAACTGCAGTCTACAGAACTTTCCCCTATTATATCTACGTCAATTATTGACAGAGAAATTTATCCACCTAAACTTGCTATTTTTTATAGAATAAGGTTGACAAACTAGCACACAGTCCACCTGACAGTAAGTGGCTGCTGTGGCCCATAGATAACCGTCATCTATCCTCAATTAATGAAATAAATAAAAATAAAATAAAAAAATGAAATGCGGAACTAAAAAAATTCCAGTAAAAAGCGTTTCCGGTTCTCTACACTCACTATACAAAACACAACAGCATTGAGCTCCTATTCTACTTTGATATTTTGTGAGAGCGTGATCTTCTCGAGACAATTTCCATTCGTGCTACAATCATAATAAAGGTTTTTAGTTTAGGTGGATGCTGTGGCCCATAGACATCTACATTTAACATCCATTAAGAATCAAAATGCAGATGTATAGTCACTCTCGAGGACTAAGATGGAATGCCTCGTTTCCTGTAGAAAGGCTCTGCGGTTCTCTACACTCACCACACGTAACACAGCGGCATAGAGCTGCTATTTTACGCTGGTATTCTGTGAGAGCGTGGTCCTTCCCCGGTCGAGCCGACCCATTCGTGCTACCACCATGATATAGCTGCAGCGTGGCTCTACCACGTATAAAAATTTCAGACTATGTGTGGTTAACTGGGAAAGAGCGCTTTTTTATTATTATTTTTTTAAGAACAATATAAACAAAATCGAAAACTTGTTCGTATGAAAAAGGCACAACGTAGGTGGATCACGTCATTTGTTCTAAAACTTCTATGTCAACCCGTAACAATGTACAGCTGGACGTGGGTTCCTCCCGTATGAGTTGTACTCCAATTGTATTTACCATGATCGTCACGCTTAATCCTAATTAACTTTTCCACTTTCCAGAGTATTTTAGTTTCCACTTTTAAAACCACTACCGACATCGTTCTGAATATTTTACATCTGGTATACCTATACGTATTTGTGTACCATCATCCATCGGAGCTCATACCTACATTTTTTATAGAATAAGTGTGACAAACGTGCACACAGTCCACCTGATGGTAAGTGGATGCTGTGGCGCATAGACATCTACATTTATTTTCATTTAATAATCAAAATGCAGATGCGTTGTCACCCCTGAGGACTGAGATGGAATGCCTCCTTATCAGTATAAAGAGTCTGGTATTTATGATCTATCATATCCCATAGTCGCCTTTTTTATATTCACGTGGCGACATGAGGTGAATTTTCATTCATTACAGTCCCTGAAAAGTTTGCTGAACATTCGAGACTTTTACCACAGTTGCCACTCGTGGCAGACTGGTTGGCAACCGCAATTTTTAATTTTCTAGTTGTTAAAAAGAAGACGTTGCAGCCCGTTCCCTGTTATGTTTCCCTCTGTAGCCTCTTACGACCACGACGGAAATATAATAAAGTTGTCAAAATTAAAAAAAACTATAAGAACCCATCGCCTCGTGGTTTGATAACCAACGTATTTTTTTTTATAAACGTGACCCCCACACTAGGATTTTCTCCTGTATCGTGGAGGCAGTTTACATACATAAATTGCACATGGATAAACATTCAGACCCGAAACAATTGCTTGTAAGCCATACAGATACTTGTTCCGTGCGGAATTCGAACCCGCGTCCCTCAGCGCTGTAACGCATTACTAAGCCATTGCACCACGGAGCCGTCGCAGAGAGAATTTATACTGAATTATTTTTTACTTAACACAATCTAATTTTTATATTAATCAGTATAATTGTTCATTTATGAAATAATAAAAGATTTTAATTGAAGTTTTGTACAAATTTCAGACGACGACAATAACTGTTCGGGGCTGACATCCGTATTCCGCGTGAACGCTGACGAATGTGGAAGACTGTGGATACTTGACTCTGGGCAAATAAACATTCAAGAAAATCCAAAACAAATATGTCCACCCAGCATAGTAGTGTTCGACCTTCAAACAGACTCTATGATTGCGAGGTATCCCATTCCCGAAGAATATGTTCTTCAAGATTCTTTATTTTCTAACATCATAGTTGACAGTAGATTAGAAGACTGTTCAGACATGCATCTATATATAGCTGATACTTGGCGATTTGGTCTTTTGGTCTTCAGATTACGTGATCAACAGTTTTGGCGATTTTCTCACCACCTGTTCTACCCAGATCCTTTGGCTTCCAATTATACATTGCACGGACTTAACTTTCAGTGGGCAGACGGTATCTTTGGGTTAGCTTTAACACCTGTTGATCAATATCAAGAACGAATATTATACTTTCATTCCTTGTCGAGTTATAGAGAATTTTATGTACATACAAACGTTCTTCGCGAACCTTCTAGAGTAAACGACAGTGCAACGGAATTTAATCTAGTCGGAGAAAGCAGGGGATTATTCGGGCAATCATCGGCGTCGGCCATCGACAGGCGAGGAGTTATGTTTTACGGCTTAGTGACAAGGGACAGTATTGGATGTTGGGACACGAGGAAACCCTATTATAAAAGAACTATGGGAACTGTGGCTACGAATACAGAGACTCTTGTGTTCCCTAACGATATCAAAGTAGACCAGGAAAAGCGTCAAAATGTATGGGTCATATCGAACAGGCTACCGATGTTCCAAACAGAGAGCTTGAGTGATGATGACTACAACTATCGGATTATGTTTGCGGACACCATGGAGGCAGTGCAGGGTACGATTTGCGACCCAGCGCTCGAACTACCGTCTCCTTATACGTTCATTCAGCGTTGGTTGCCATAGTACCTATATTTTCGTTTACAGTTTTTATTAAAAGTCTTTTTGTCATTATGGCACTGTTTTAATTCACACTTATTTTTTCATAGGAGAGGGGGTAAACGCGCATACGGCTCATCTGATGGTAAGTGATTACCGCCGCCCACGATCAACCGCAACACCAGGGGAATTGCAGGTGCGTTGCCGGCCGTTTAAAAAGGAGTAGGCTCTTTTCATGAAGGTCTCCAGGTCGTATCGGTCCGGAAAAATCACCGGTGGTAAATTATTCCACAGAGAGGTTGTACGCGGAACAAAACTCCTTTTGAAACGTACAGTGGTGGACCGCCAAGCATCCAGATGGTGTGGATGGTATCGGGACGTTTGCCGTGTAGTACGTTCACGAAATTTGGCGGCTGGGATTAATCCGAACAATTCCTCTGAGCACTCCCCCGTGATAGATGCGATAAAATACGCAAAGAGATGCAACATCTCTTCGCAGCGCCAGTGAATCATCGAGCCGATGGGAAAGCACTCGGTCGTCGACGATTCGAGCCGCTCTGCGCTGGATGCGGTCAAGTGGAAGGAGCTGGTACTGGGGAGCCCCAGCCCAGAGATGGGAACAGTATTCCATGAGCGGCCGAACCTGCGCCTTGTAAAGTTGTAGGCGGTGTGCCGGCATGAAATACTGTCCCGCTCTGCTGAGCACGCCAAGCTTTTTAGAGGCCAATTTGGCCTTCCTTTCCAAGTGACCACGAAACTGCACGTCACTCGATATGTCGACGCCGAGGATTCCGATACTGGCTGATTTTTTTTATATAGAAGAGGGGGCAAACGAGCATGTGGCTCACCTGATGTTAAGTGACTACCGACGCCCATGATCAACCGCAACATCAGGGGAATTGCAGGTGCGAACTGCATCACCAGAGGAACTGCAGGTACGTTGTCGGCCTTTTAAAAAGGAGTAGGCTCTTTTCTTGAAGGTCTCTAAGTCGTATCGATCCGGAAGAATCTCAGGTGGTAGTCGATCCCACAAGGAAGTTGTGCGTGGAAGAAAACTTCTCTTAAATCGCACAATGGTGGACTGTCAGTCATCCAGACGGTATGGACGGTATTGCAAGTTTTGTTGCAATGTGCGATGGTGAAATCTCAATCGAATGAATAAAATTTGAATGGAAGGAAAAGAGTAACATTTATTAGACAGAATAATTTATTAGCCCGACAATGTATTATAACAAATAGACAAAACAATTAACAAAATAATTATATTAACACTTTACTTTTCACTTTACATTTCTTCATCATTCATTCATTTGTTTAGCGATTGAACCTCACTCAGATTACCTTCTTCGTCTTCATTTAAATAGCCTATCAAAGTATATTGCCGAACAAAGACCTCCCCAAAAGTTGTCTCTTAACACTTTCCCTGTCCGTGAAAAAGACACAATACTTAAACGATTGATATATTCATGATTCATGGGATAGGGAAGGCGTTAATGAGGATACTTGCCATAGTTGCCACGCTTGGAAAACAGGTTAGCAACGCTGTGAGCAATAAATGTGAGCAATAGCAACAAAGTTGTGAAATCTATGGGACGATAAGTACTAATGGATATTCTTACACCTCCACTACAGAGTAGCGGTGGTTTTCAGTGAGCTAGAAGAGACACGTGTGTGATTGGTACTAAAGTATATTGACTGCTACTTAGGTCTAGTGGTCGTAACCGCGATTGCTCAACATGAGATTTCGGGTTCGAATTACGGGTCGGGCAAAAATCTGCCATTGGGTTTTGCACACGGAAAGCATGTAAAGCCGTAGGTCCTGCGTCTGATCTCTCTCCGGTCGTGCTAAGTTACCGTCTCATCGGCATATGAGTGTGGAGATATAGAGAGCGCATACCCTCGTCCTGTCCTGCGCAGATGGCTAGCATACGTTGAGACCGGCCCCCATGACCGAATTCCGGTCTACAGGATATCATAACTAAAATGTATCATATAAGACGCCTATGATAACTTTTTCTTTAAATGTTAATATATCCCGCAAGCGGTGAACTCAGCTGATTAAAAGACGAGGATCTGGCGAGCAACTTATTGTGGGAAATTCATTCAAAATACTCAACCCAAATGTCAGAGACAATTGTTTCTTTTATCTGTGCTAGTGATACTGCATTACCATTACAGGTTCTGCACTCACCAATCCGGATACCCAACGTGTAGGCAAATTTTCTAAAGAAAGTAGCTGTCGAATTCTTGCAAAGCAGAGCAGTCAATTTAAGGAGACTCTGAATAAGGAAAAAAACTTCAATTTTTTTACGTTATTTTACCTATAGAAAACAGTATGCCTGATAAAGCACAAAATATAGAAATTGCAAATGTGAAATTAATTTAGGTGCGTGGTTGAGTTGGAAGTGGCGGTGGTGGTGCAGTGTTGTTCTTAAACAAGCGAATTTATTTGTGGGTATGTTTAGAACCGATAAATAAAGCGATTTCTTGCGAAATATTAGAAACCTATTGTTTAATCACACTTGCTTATTTATACTAGCATATATAGCGCCTTCTAAAATAATGTACGCAATTATTTTACGTTGCAAAGTTGTGTGTAAAATCCAATTATTTGGTGACTCGGTCCACATACAGTAATATAATAATGATTTCTTATATTTACGCGAACACTACACATTGAAATAATACTAGTTTTACGATTGTTACCCGACGTTTCGAACGCTTTACAGCACCCATGGTCACGGGGAGGACTGAGATGTTCAACTTCCAAATGTCATAGTTTAACAGCGGTTACCATAGATAAAAAATTTACTTTTGTTCCGATCTACACAGTATGAACTTATGGTATCTAGAAGTCTTGCAGTTGTATGCTTGGGTTGGGATTTAATTTTATTTATTATAGGATCCCAAGCAAATGGTAGCACCCAGCCATCTTCTCTATTGAAATTAGGATGTTTTTTTGATTTCAATAGCCTCGCAAATCATCCTTGATTCGTCGATTCTTCACATCAGCTATATGTTCTTTAACGCGGGTTTTAATTGATCTTTTAGTTTGTCCTATGTAAGAGAGACCACACTCACAATGAAGCTTGTACACTCTTGCATCTTGCAGAGGGACGTTACACTTGACTGATGGTAGAAACTGACCAATCTTCTTCGGCGGCTTGAAGTATGTTTTGATGGAAGCGCTCTTTAAGATGTAGCCAATCTTGTCAGTGACTCCTCTAACATATGGCAGTACAGCAGGTACACGCTTGACTGTGGCCGGCTTCACTCGTTCACTTTGACGTAGGCGTGGAACCCGAAGCTTGTTGTCATGTAAAACTTGCTTGACATGGTCGAGCTCGGCAGCCAGGTGTTTACTGTCACAGATCTCTCGTGCTCTCTGAAACAAAGATTTACCCACAGTAGCTAACTGTGAAGGATGGTGGTGAGAATCACCGTTTAAATATATATCTGTATGGTTCTTTTTGCTATACACAGTTTGGCTCAAGGTGTTATCAGGATTCCGAATTACTAACACATCTAGAAAAGCTAAAGAATTGTTTGCCTCTAACTCCAAGTCTATGGGTATACGGGTAAACTGTGACCAGTAAAAGCACAGACGGTACTAGTAAAATATATTTTATTAGCACTTTATAGTGTTTCTCAACCAATCCTTTTTACTTTTTGTTTTAGTAGGTCGGGGAAAAAGTTTCTTCGTATTTTGTTTGTATAAAATTGAAAATAAAGAGTAAAAAACACTTTCCCGTCATTTTTTATTTGTCTTTCTGTCCGCCAAAATGAGTGAATCTAAGAAAGAAATTCGATACATTCTGAAGTTTGATAGGTTTTATATAAAAAGGGGGAAAATGCATTACTCAAGGAGCAAGATCGGCATATTAGTTGTTATGTCATAGAGGATTTATTACAAAATAGTTTTGACCCAGGATAGATAAGTAGATATCTATGGGTCACAGCACCCACTTTATTTATCACCCTTATTCCATACAAAAATGTAGTAGCATTGGATTCCACGCATGTTTTTATTAAATATACAGCAAACGGTATGATCAATATTAATATTATAACCTTTCTGATGAACCGCATAGTGACGATATATTAATATCCACTACCTCATATCGTCCCGTGAGTATCGTAAGACATGACGGAGGAAAATAAAACAGGTAGAGCCACGCTGCAGCTATATTATGGTTACAGCACGAATGGGTCAGCTCGACCGAGGAAGGACCACGCTCTCACAGAATACCAGACTAAATAGTAGCTTAATACTGCTGTGTTTGGTTTAGAGATCCGGAGACCCTTTTTTACTGGAAACGAGGCATTCCGTCTTAGTCCTCAGGGGTGACAACGCATCTGCAGTTTGATTCTCAGTTAAGGATAAATGTAGACGTCCATGGGCCATAGCATTCACTTACCATCAGGTGGACTGTGTGCTCGTTTGTCACCCTTATTCAATAATTGATAGAATCAGGCGTTACTTTGCGGAAATCCATTATAATAAAGATATTAATAGTTAATTTGCAACCATCCACCTATTAAATACATTGATGTGTCTTACCTGGATTGAAGAGTACCTCCCGTCCTCCCTCAATTGCGTGCACGTGGTGACAAGATTAGTACACGCAATTGAGGGAGGGCGGGAGGTACTCTTCGATCCAGGTAAGACACATCATTGTATTTAAGTAAGCGGATGGTTGCAAATTAACTATTAATATATTTACCCTTATTCGATTAAAGAAGGAGGTGGGCAAAAGCGTCTTTCTAATACCAACTAGAAAATTTAAAAAAGCTGCGGCTGCCAACTCGATTGCCAAATGTGGCAACCATGGCAAATATATACCCTCTCAAAAGGCAATCTAAGGATAGGCTTATTATTCTTCGGTGGACTTCCATAGGCTGTGATAGATGGATGGAATATTATTGATAATTTTTAGGTGATGATTAGTTGGCCGTAGT